CTGTGAAAAGGGGGCCAGGGAGATGGCTCAGTGGAATAAGCGCTTCCCTGGCAAGTGCAAGGGCCTGAGTTCAATCCCTGGTTCCACCAAAAAAAAAAAAACCAAAAACAAAAACAAAAAAAAAACCTGTGAAAAAATGGACTTAGTAGACATCTGCAATATTGTACCCTAAAGCATCAAAACACATATTTTTCTCAGCTTCACACAAAAGTTCTCAAAAATAAACAACATAGTAGCTCAAAGAACATGCTTAAATACAAAGAAACTAAAAAGTATCCTATGTATACTATCAGAACACAGTACAATGAAACTACAAATAGCAAAAGAAACCATAAGAACTTCATGAACACATGGAAAGAACACCCTCCTGACAACCACTGGGTCACAGATGAAAGTAAGGAAGAAATTAGACAGTTTCTACGATTAATGATAATGTCAATACAACGTACTGGAACTCGTGGGGTGCAGTAAAAGCAGTCCTACTAGGGAAATTTACAACAATGAATTACCATATCAAAAACAGAATAATGGGCCGGGGAGATGACTCAGTAGGATAAGTGCTTCTCTGGCAAGCGCAAGGGTCTGAGTTCAATCCCCGGGTCCGCAAAAAAAAAAAAAAAAAAAAAAAAAAAAAAAAAGTTCAAATAAAGAACCTAATGTTGAAACTCAAGCTTCTAGCAAATGAGCAAGTCAATACCAAAGCCTGAACAAAGGAGGAAGTTAAAAAGATAAAATGAAGAGTTGATTCTTTAAAAAATTAAATAAAATTGACAAATCTTATCCAATCTAATCAAAAAGTGAAGACCAAAATCCATGCAATGAAAAATGAAAAGGACGAAATCACAGCACACCCTGCAGAAGTACTTAAGTTTATGTTTACATGATTGAAGAATCTGTATTCTAATAAGATGGAAAACACAGAAGAAATGGACAGATTCCTAGATACATATAAAGAACCAAAGCTCAGTCAAAAAGACATAAAAATTCTAAAGAAAGCAGTAGGAGGCTGGGGAGATGGCTCAGAAGAATAAGCACTTCCCTGGCAAGTGCAAGGGCCTGAGTTCAATCCCTGGTTCCGCCAAAAAAGAAAGAAAGAAAGAAAGAAAGAAAGAAAGAAAGAAAAGAAAGCAGTATCAGTTAATGAAATTGAAGATGTAATTAAAAACCTAATAACAAAAAAGCCCAGGCCCTGATAGATTCACTACTGAATTTTACAAGAAATTTTGAAAAGACTTAATTCCACTATTTGTCAGCCTTTAATGAAACTGAAAGGAAACAAGAGTCCCAAAGTCCTGGAAACAAGCATTAGCCTGATACCAAAACCAGAGAAGTATATAACAAAAAAAGAAAACTACTTCCCCTAATGAAAATAGGTGCCAAAATCTTCAATAAGATACTGGCAAACAAAATGTAACAAATCATTAAGATTATAATACACCATGACCAAGTAGGATTCATTCTAGAGATGCAAAGATGGTTCAACGTACCCAAATCAATAAATGTAATATACCATACCAACAGAGGCAAGGACAGAAACTATATGATTGACTCAATAGATGCAGAAACAGCATTTGACAAAGCCCAACACCCATTCATGATAAAAACCCTACAGAAGATTGAATTAGATGGGTCATTAACTCAATCTGATAAAAGCCATCTATGACAAACCAACAGCCAACATCATACTAAATGGACAAATATGGCAATCTTTCACTCTAAAATCAAATGCAGTAGCGTATATAGATACACTCTGAACCAAATTCAGTAGCATATCTAGATACAAAGTAAACACTCATAATTCAATAGCATTCCTGTACACATAACAAGTTGAAAGGGAAATTAGGGAATCGACCCTTTCACAATAGCATCCAAAAAACTGAAATACCTAGAAATCAATCTAACGAAGGAAATAAAAGATCTTTACACTGAAAATCAAAGTACTTTGAAAAAGGAGATTAAAGAAGACATCAGAAAATGGAAAGATATCCCTTGTTTTGGGTAGGAAGAACCAATATACTGGCCATACTTCCAAAATTGTTATACAAATTTAATGTAATTCCAATCAAAGTAACAATAGCATATCTCACAGAATTAGAGGAAACAATTCCACAATTCATTTGGAACCAGCCATGACCTAGAATAACAAAAGCAATTTTGGGCAGCAAAAGCAAGGCAGAGGACATCACAATCCCTGACTAGAAATTATACTACAAAGCTACTGTTAAAAAATAGGATGGTATTGAAGAAAAAAAAAAATCAGACCCAAAGATCAATGAACAGATTAGAAGATACAGAAACAACTTCAAACACATTCAGCCTCCTTATCTTTGACAAAGGATCCAAATATCTTCACTGGAAGATACTTTTAAATAAATAATGCTGGAAAAACTGGCTTTCCATATGCCAAATATTAAAATTAAACCCATGTCTTTCACTATGCACAAAACTAAAATCGAAGTGGATCAAAGATTTAAGTATTAGGGCTGGGAGATGGCTCACTAGGATAAGCACTTCCCTGGCAAGCACAAGGGCCTGAGTTCAATCCCTGGTTCCACAAAAAAAAAAAAAAAAAAAAGAAAAAGAAAAAGATTTAAGTATTAAAACAGAATAATAAGTCAATTGGAAGATAGAATATGTAGAACTTAGAGACTTTGGTGTAGGCAAATACTTTATGAAATCCAGACACAGGAAATACTACAATGAACCAACCACTAGTATCCTGTTTTATTAAAAAGCTTTTGCACAGCTAAAGAAACCACCAACAGAGTTAAGAGACAACCCACTGTATGGGAAAAATTTTCTTCCAGCTGTTCCTCAGACAAAAGACCAATGTCTGGAATATATAAAAAACTTAAAAAAAAAAAAAATCAGACCTCCCCCCCAAATTTAATAACTCAATCTAAAACTGATCTTAAAGGAATATACACGTCTCAGATTAAGAAGCAAAAGCAGGAAATAAACAAATGAAAAAATGTTCAACAACACTGCCATTTGAGAGATGCAAATTAACACAATTCTGAGATTCCAGCTCAT